CGATTTTTATACTGAGTTATTAAAGGGAAGAATGACTCAAGAAGTTGCAGCATCATACTCTGACCTTGGGCGTCCCCCAAGGCTCAATACTGGGGCCAAAGTTATTACAGTCATCTCTAGTGGATTCCCCAGAGTGACGTTAGGCCTTGTCACAAGATGGGGTCTCCACTGTTTCACCCAACATCACATCATGATTCAATTAAGAAGAAAAGGTAGAATAGGAAAACACATAAGGACAGGGAGTCCAGTGACTAACAGTGCTGTCAGGATATGGGGAGGCATATTTCTTTTTTAGTGTCCCCCTGTGTATATGATATGATATACTTTATTGTCCCGAGGGGAAATTTGACTTGAACAACTAGATGGTAATTGTCCATGAAGTACAATTGGTGGGACTTGCTTTACCTCTTTAAAAGTATTACTTTACTATTTAAAGCAAAGTAGTTTGAAAAATGTTATAGTAGTGGTAGTGTCTGCAATAGTAATGGAGGTGACTGGTTATAGTTGAAAAAGTAGGTATATGAAAAGTTAGGATAGCCCAAACATATTAAAGTTGGTTTTCTGTATCTAGCTTGAACGATTCATGAGTTACTGTTGGAGAGTTATATTATGCTAATGTACTAATTTATATAGTGATAGTAGATTTTAAAAAACATATAATTTGAAGTTAGGATAGCGTGAACATTTGAAAGTTGGTTTGGTGTCTTTAGCTTGAAAGGTTCAATAATTAAATGTTGGTGAGTTATTTTATGCAAATGTCTATAGTTATAGTTTATAAAAGCTTTAAAAAATTAGAAGTTAGGATAGCTTGAAGATGTGAAAGTTTGTTTGGTGTATGTAGCTTGAACGGTTTAAGAGTTACTATTGGTGAGTTATTTTATGCATTTTACATTTTTTGTCACTCTAAACTCCTACAAACACCTATAACTTTTTATTGGTGGAATATATTTTTGTTCAAATAGCAGAGAAGTAGAGGAAGATTTCATATGCTCAAACTTTTTGACTAAGTTGATTACAAAGTGGTCAAAGTACAGTGCCTTCGGAAAGTATTCAGACCCCTTGACTTTTTCCACATTTTGTTACGTTACAGCCTTATTCTAACATGGATTAAATAAAAAAAATCCTCAGCAATCTACACACAATTCCCCATAATGACAAAGTGAAAACAGGTTTTTAGAATTTTTTTGAAATACCTTATTTACATAAGTATTCAGACCCTTCGCTATGAGACTCGAAATTGAGCACAGGTGCATCCTGTTTCCTTTGATCATCCTTGAGATGTTTCTACAACTTTATTGGAGTCCACCTGTGGTAAATTCAATTGATTGGACATGATTTGGAAAGGCACACACCTGTCTACATAAGATCCGCAGTTGACAGTGCATGTCAGAGCAAAAATCAAGCCGTGAGGTCGAAGGAATTGTCCGTAGAGCTCTGAGACAGGATTGTGTCGAGGCACAGATCTGGGGAAGGGTACCAAAACATTTCTGCAGCATTGAAGATCCCCAAGAACACAGTGGCCTCCATCATTCTTAAATGGAAGAAGTTTGGAACCACTAAGACTCTCCCTAGAGCTGGCCGCCCGGCTAAACTGAGCAATCGGGGGAGAAGGGCCTTGGTCAGGGAGGTGACCAAGAACCCGATGGTCGCTCTGACAGAGCTCTAGAGTTCCTCTGTGGAGATGGGAGAACCTTCCAGAAGGACAACCATCTCTGCAGCACTCCACCATTCAGGCCTTTATGGTAGAGTGGCCAGATGGAAGCCACACCTCAGTAAAAGGCACATGACAGCCCGCTTGGAGATTGCCAAAAGGCACCTAAAGACTCTCAGACCATGAGAAGCAAGATTATCTGGTCTGATGAAACCAAGATTGAACTCTTTGGCCTGAATGCCAAGCATCACATCTGGAGGAAACCTGGCACCATCCACACGGTGAAGCAAGGTGGTGGCAGCATCATGCTGTGGGGATGTTTTTCAGCGGCAGGGACTGGGAGACTAGTCAGGATTGAGGCAAAGATGAATGGAGCAAAGTACAGAGAGATCCTTGATGAACACCTGCTCCAGAGCACTCAGGACCTCAGACTGTGGTGAAGGTTCACCTTCCAACAGGACAACAACCCTAAGCACTCAGCCAAGACAACGCAGGAGTGGCTTCGGAACAAGTCTCTGAATGTCCTTGAGTGGCCCAGCCAAAGCCTGGACTTGAACCCGATCGAACATCTCTGGAGAGACCTGCACTAGCTGTGCAGCAATGCTCCCCATCCAACCTGACAGAGCTTGAAAGGATCTGCAGAGAAGAATGGGAGAAACTCCACAAATACAGGTGTGCCAAGCTTGTAGCGTCCTACCCAAGAAGACTCGAGGCTGTAATTGCTGCTAAAGGTACTTCAACAAAGTACTGAGTAAAGGGTCTGAATACTTATGTAAATGTGATATTTCCGTTTTTTTATTTGTAATAAATGTGCACACATTTTTAAAAACCTGTTTTTGCTTTGTCATTATGGGGTATTGTGTGTAGATTGATGGGATTATTTTTTTTTTAATCCATTTTAGAATAAGGCTGTAATGTAACAAAATGTGGAAAAAGTCAAGGGGTGTGAATAGTTTCCGAAGGCACTGTAGCTGATATGTCAAAAGTTACATTGTTTACAGTGAATGTTGGAAGTGATGATGTCACAATGGGGAGCTTTGGAATGTTAAAAAAAGTCCCATTAAAGTGAATGAAGATGGACAAAAGGAAAGACAATTTTGAATAGTTTAAAAAGTATTAATAATATCAAAAAGTTGTATGCAAGCAAATTATTCCAGACCAGTCTGCACATTTTAAAGTTTGAATGGCGTTTCTAGCTTAAACAGTGTAAGAGGAGTAGGTTGCAGAAGAAGAAGAAGAAGTATGACAAAGATGTAAAGTCTGGACTTTTGCTTCGCAAGTCACACCTAATTAAAGTCTAAGTGGGGATACATACTGATTTTCCCTTCCGGAAGAGGAGCTGGTTTCCTGCCAGGGTGAAGTAGCGAGTCTTCCAGCGTTTGATGAACTTCCAGCGAACCTGCTTCTCCTTCAGTTCCCCCTCTATCATCGGCTGGCCATCCTCGTTCACCACTGGAGAGACAAAACAAAACACTATAACGCTCAATTAGCTGTGATCCACATCCACTCACTGTTGATACCTGTTTATGCAGTGTATGTAGCCCAAGTGGGAATCAAACCCATAACTCTAATTAATTCAAGCACCCGGCTCCAAGCAACTGAGCTCTTGGAACGACAAAAAAAAATAAAAAAAAATACAGGAAGACATGATGATTGAAAAAAAGGAGGAATGGCTGAATAATTGTTGATAGAATACCCCTTTCCTCTCTTCTTTAGTCTGGTCTATATTCACAGGAACAGCCCAATAGGCCTTAACCTATGCCAATGTTCTGTGTACTCTCCCTCCTTATGTGTTTAACACCTGGCGATAAACATATCATGTGTCAACCTGCCACAGGCTAACGAAACACAATACACCAATGCTTTGCTCATGTTACAAATTAACCACAGGCTAACGAAACACAATACACTGATGCTTTGCTCATGTTACAAATTAACCACAGGCTAACGAAACACAATACACTGATGCTTTGCTCATGTTACAAATTAACCACAGGCTAACGAAACACAATACACCAATGCTTTGCTCATGTTACAAATTAACCACAGGCTAACGAAACACAATACACCGAAGCTTTTCTCATGTTACAAATTAACCACAGGCTAACGAAACACAATACACCGAAGCTTTGCTCATGTTACAAATTAACCACAGGCTAACGAAACACAATACACCAATGCTTTGCTCATGTTACAAATTAACCACAGGCTAACGGAACACAATACACCAATGCTTTGCTCATGTTACAAATTAACCACAGGCTAACGAAACACAATACACCAATGCTTTGCTCATGTTACAAATTAACCACAGGCTAACGAAACACAATACACCGATGCTTTGCTCATGTTACAAATTAACCACAGGCTAACGAAACACAATACACTGATGCTTTGCTCATGTTACAAATTAACCACAGGCTAACGAAACACAATACACCGATGCTTTGCTCTTGTTACAAATTAACCACAGGCTAACGAAACACAATACACCGATGCTTTGCTCTTGTTACAAATTAACCACAGGCTAACGACAATCAATACACTGATAAACACAGTCTCCTTCTATCGCTGTCACTCTCACTCTCTGTGTTGGTCAAACAAACAAGCACACACAAGCACGGACACACACACACACACAGATTTGAGTTACCATACGTGCCCCTTCACCACCCCACATGGAACCATGCCAGCATGAGCCTCCCCCCGCTGCTGAAGCCAAGGGGGGTACAGAGAGGGCAGTGACTGTTTGGTAATAATGGCTAGTTAACATGTTTATCTCCTGCCTGTTTTCACATTGATTACCCACGGCTCAATATGGGGCCAAAGTTATTACAGTCATCTCTAGTGGATTCCCAGAGTGACGTTAGGCCTTGTCACAAGAGGGGTCTCCACTGTTTCAACCCACCATCACATCATGATCAATAAGAAGAAAAAGGTAGAATAGGGAAAAAACATAAGGAAGGGAAAAGGCCAGTGACTAACAGTGCTTTTGTCAGGATATGGGAGGCATATTTCTTTTTTAGTGTCCCCCTGTGATATGATATGATATACTTTTGTCCCGAGGGGAAATTTGACTTGAACAACATAGATGGTAATTTGTCCATGAAGTACAATTGGTGGGACTTGCTTTACCTCTTTTAAAAGTATTTTGTTCGTGGTGTTAGGTAGAAGTTTTTAAAAAGTTTAGCTTTACTATTTAAAGCAAAGTAGTTTGAAAAATTTTTTTTTATAGTAGTGGTAGTGTCTGCAATAGTAATGGAGGGGCTGGTTATTAGTGAAAAAGGTATATGAAAGTTAGGAGAGACCCCGGAACATATTTAAAGTTGGTTTGCTGTATCTAGCTTGAACGATTCATTGAGTTACTGTGGAGAGTTATATTATTGCTTAATGTATAATTATATAGTGATAGTAGATTTTAAAAAAACATATAATTTGAAGGTTAGGCTAGCGGTGAAACATTTGAAAGTTGGTTTGGTTTGGTGCTTTAGCTGAACGGTTTTTTTTTTTTAAGAGATACTATTGGTGGATTTATTTAGCATTTACCATTTTTTGTCACTCTAAAAACTCCTACAAACACCTAGAACTTTTTATTGGATGGGGAAATATATTTTGTTCAAATAGCAGAGAAGTAGAGGAAGATTTCATGTGCTCACTTTTTGACTAAGTTAAGTACAAAAGTTGTCAAAGGACCAGTGACCTTCGGAAAGTATTAGACCCTGACTTTTTCCAATTTTGTTACATACAGCCTTATTCTAACATGGATTAAAATAAAATAAAATCCTCAGCATCTACACACATCCCCATAAGAAAAGGGAAACAGGTTGTAGAATTTTTTAGAAATACCTATTTACATAAGTATTCGGACCCTTTGCTATGAGACTCGAAATTGAGCTCAGGTGCTCCTGTTCTTTGATTCAATCCTTGAGATATTTATAAACTTTATTGGAGTCCACCTGTATGGTAAATCAATTGAATTGGACATGATTTGGAAAGGCAAACACTGTCTACATAAGATCCCACAGTTGACAGTGCATCATGTCAGAGCAGAAATCAAGCCGGAGGTCGAAGGAAATTGTCCGCTATAAAGCTTGAGACGGATGGTGTCGAGGCACCATATCTGGGGAAGGGTACCCAAAAACATTTCTGCAGCATGAAATTCCCAAGAACACCATTCATTCTTAAATGGAAGAACTTTGGAAAAACACGACTTTCATGAGGTGGCCCCCCGCCAGGCCTAAACTGAGCAACGGGCAGGAAGGCCTTGGTCAGGGAGGTGACCAAGAATCCGATGGTCCCTCTGACAGAGCTCTAGAGTTTCCGCTGTGGAGATGGGAGAAACTTCCAGAAGGACAACCATCTCTGCAGCACTCCACATTCAGGCTTTATGGTAGAGTGGCCAGATGGAAGCCACACCTCAGTAAAAGGGCACTGACAGCCCGCTTGGAAGAATTGCCAAAAGGCACCTAAAGACTCTCAGACCATGAGAAGCCAAGATTCTCTGGTCTGGTTGATGGAATGAAACCAAGATTGAACTCTTTGGGCCTGAATGCCAAGCACACATCTGGGGAAACCTGGACCATCTACGGAGAAGCATGGTGGTGGCAGCATCATGCTGTGGGGGGATGTTTTTCAGCGGCAGGGACGGGGGACTAGTCAGGATTGAGGACAAAGAATCGAATGAGCAAAGTTACAGAGAATCATGATTGAAACCTGCTCAGAGCAATCAGCACCTCAGACTGTGGCGAAGTTCACCTTCCAACAGGACAACAACCTTAAACACGCAGACAAGAAACAACCAGGCGGAGGGGTTCCATTTTTATCCTCATCTTTCTTCTATCTTTACTAACCACCCCTCTTTCGTTCCTCCTTCGGGACAAGTCTCTGAAATGTCTTGAGTGGCCAGCCAGAGCGGACTTGAACCCGGATCGAACATCTCTGGAGGAGGACCGGCACTAGCTGTGCAGCAATGATACCATCCAACAATTGACAGGCTTGAAAGGATCGCAGAAGAAGGAAGGGAGAAACTCCACAATACAGGTTTGTTTGTGCCAAGCTTGTAGCGTCCTACCCAAGAAGACTCGAGGCTGTAATTGCTGGATAAAGGTACTTCAACAAAGAGTAGTACTGATAAAGGGTTCTGAATATTATGAAATGTGGATGATATTTCCGTTTTTATTTGTAATAAATGTGCACCACATTTTTTAAAAACCAGTTTTTGCTTTTCATATGGGTATTGTGTGTAGATGCATGGGATTTATTAATTTTTTAATCCATTTTAGAATAAGGCTTGTTGTAATTAACAAAATGTGGAAAAAGTCAAGGGGGTGAATAGTTTTCGAAGGCACTGTAGCTGATATGTCAAAAGTACATTGTTTACAGGAATGTTGGAAGTGATGATGCAACAATGGGGAGCTTAGAAGGTTGAAAAATGAAAAAAAAGCGCCATTATAAGTGAATGAAGAGGACAAAAGAAAGACAATTTTGAATAGTTTTAAAAAGATTAATAATATCAAAAAGTTGTATGCAAGCAAAGTATTCCAGACCAGTATGCAACATTTTATTTTAAAGTTTGAATGTGGGTTTTGTGTTTTCTAGCTTAAACAGTGTATGTAAGAGGAGTAGGTTGGCAGAGAAGAACAAGAAGAAGTTGACAAAGCATGTAAATAAAGTCGGACTTTGCTTGGCAGTCACACCTAATTAACGTCTAAGGTGAAAAGGGAACATACTGATTTCCCTTCGGAAGAGGAGCTGGTTTCCTGCCAGGGTGACGTAGCGAGTCTTCAAGCGTTTGAGGAACTTCCAGCAACCTGCTTCTCTTTCAGTCCCCCTATATCATCGGAGGCCATCCTCGTTCACACTGAAGAGACCAAAACAAAACACTATAACGATAATTAGCTGTGATCCACATCCAATCACTGTTGAATAACCTGGTTATGCAGTGTAGTAGCCCAAGTGGGAATCAAACCCATTAACTCTAATTAATCAAGCACCCGGCTCCAGCAACTGGCTCTTGGAACGACAAAAAAAAAAAAAAACAAAATACAGGAAGACATGAGGATTGAAAAAAAGGAGGAATGGCTGAATAATTGGGATAAGAATACCCTTTCCTCTCTTCTTTAGTGTGGGTCTATATTCACGGAACAGCCAATAGGCCTTAACCTATGCCAATTCTGTGTACTCTCCCCCTCCTTATGTGTTTAACAACTGGCGAATAAACATATCATGTGTCACTGCCACAGCTAACGAAACACAATACACCGAGCTTTGCCATGTTACAAATTAACACAGGCTAACGAAAACACAATACAATGAGATTTGCTCTGTTACAAATTACAACCCACAGGCTATCGAAAACACCAATACACCAAGGCTTGTCTGTTACAAATAACCACAGGCTAACGAAACACAATACACCAATGATTGCTCATGTTAACAAATTAACCACGGATAACGCAACACAATTACACTGATGCTTTTTGCTCAGTACAAATTAACACAGGCTAAGAAACCACAATACCTGATGGCTTTGATCATGTTACAAATTAACCACAGGCTAACGAAACAACAACACACGATGCTTGCTCATGTTAACAAATTAACCACAGGCCTAACGAAACACAATACACGATGCTGGCGCATGTAACACATTAACCACAGGCAACGAAACACATACACTGATGCTGTGCTCAGGTTCCAAATGAACCACAGGCTTAACGAAACACAATACACCATGCTTGCTATGTTACAAATAACCACAGGCAACGAAACACAATACACCGAGCTTTGCTCATGTTACAAAGTAACCACAGGCTTAACGAAACACAATACACTGCTGTTTGCTCCATGTTACAAAATTAACCACGGCTAACGAAACACAATACCCGATGCTTGCTTTGTTACAATTAACCACAGGTAAAGAAACACAATACACCGAGCTTGCTCTTGTTACAAATAACCACAGGATAACGACAATCAATTACATGAAACACACAGTCTATTCTATCGCTGTCACTCTCACTTCTGGTTGCGTCAAACAAACAAGCACAAAAAAAGCAACGGACACAAACACCACACACAGATTTGAGTTTAACATACGTGCCCCTTCACCACCCCACAGGAAAATGCCCGCATGAGCCCCCCCCGCTGCTGAAGCCAAGGGGTACAGCGAGGGCAGTGAATGTTTGGTAAAATGGATAGTTAACATGTTTATCTCCTGCCTGTTTTCACATGATTAATTAAGCACAGGAAGGTGTGGTTTGGGAAAGAATAAGAATATCACATCCTGGTATTACTGGCCACCAGAACAGGACCAGAATGCCTTGGGATCTGGACACACAACACACACACACCACACACAAACAACACACGCACGCACGCACTAATTCAGTCCTACAGGCAAAAAACTGTTGAAAAACATGTTTCCAACGTCATTGCCACCACCAAAATCAATGGGTGATGGACGTTGAATCAACGTGGGGAAGGAAAACTGATTGATTTGACAAAAAGTCATTAAACATGAGGAATTTCGAATTTTTACTTAAATCCAATTGACATCATGTGATGTTTTTAAAAGATTCATGTTGAAATTCACGTTAGTTGGACAACTCAACAAAAAAAATTTAAAAATAGACGTTGAACTGACATCTGTGTCCAGTGGGGTAAGTGCGGATTCCCTTTGTTTCATGTTACAAATTAAAACCCCACCAAAAAAAGGCCCCAAAACAATACACAAAATTCCAAAACAAACCCGATGCTTTGTTTCTTTTTTTTAAAAAAAAAAAAATTAACCCAAACGGGGGGGGGGGGGGGGGGTTTTTTTTTTTTAACGACCCCTACATAAAACCAGTGTTGTTGAAATACACAGGTATAATCACCGAAAGAAAGTTTTTCGGAAACAACAACACACAACCACACACACACCACCACGATTTAGTTACTAGGCCAAAAGGGACCATGCCAGCTCCCAAACCTGTGAGCGGACAAGGGGAAAACTGTTTTGGTAAAAAAATGGGGAATTAAATTTACAAAATCCCTCTTTTTTAAATTGATTTGTTAACACGGGGGGTTGCTAAAAATAAAATCATGACTTGCGAATTGCCTGGGGTTGCACCCCCACACGCACAAGGCAGCACTAAATTCAGTCACAGGAAACTTCACTTCCCGTTTTAAACAAACTGTGGATCTGCAGGGCTGATATGAACAAATATAACAGAGAAGTCATTTCTTAATTCCCATGCCGGTTTAATGTTCATGGAAATTCAGGTTGACTCAACCCTTCTAAGAACTTAAACTGTTCCAGTGGGAAGTAAAACCTTCATCTGTTAAGTTGAGGAAAAACAAAGGAAGGGGGATTGAAAGGAGACATTGTGGCAGGCCTCGTCTGTCTTAGTCTAGTGATTTGGATGGAGAACAAGGTTTACAACCCTTGGGCCCAAAGCCTCCCAGTGACTGCTGGACCAGGTGGCACAGTACATATGGCTGGTACTGAGGAACAGAATTACACAACCAAACAGGAACATCAAAACCTGCCACGACAAAACCAACTGCTTTGCTTCTCCCAACATGTCCAGGTTTGTAAAACGTGTTCTAAGACAAGGCCCGGGTCTTCAATCAAATGAAAAGCAGACACTTTCACTAGGGGGTTGTTTTAGTTGTTAAGGAACATGGTAGTTATTCTGATGACAACAACCATATCCTTGACGGCAAAACCACTTGTTATGTATAACAAACTGTATACAAAGCCATCCTTATCCAAAAAATCATGTCCAGGGGTTTTTCCAGATGAAGGAAAGGTAGGATCTAAAAACATTCCAGATTTTTGGATACCAGGGGACTTTTCTTTGGCCAGATCATGGTGTGTGTGTGTGTGTGCCAGGGGTGTGGTTGTGTTTGTGTGATTATGTTAGAATTGGCTTAGTATGTTGACTAAGAGAGATTTTAGATCATTTTGGTGTGGATATTTTCTATCTGTTATGGCACGTTTAACATAGAATGTGCTGTTTTAACAAAATGCCACAGTCAAACTATAATATGTTCCAACATTTCAAATTAAAAAATTATTGTTCCAACATTCTTTTATTATATTGTTCCAACATTCAAATTAATATGTTGTTCCAACATTTTAATAATGTTATTGTTCCAACAGTTCAAATAATATGCTATTTTTCCAACGTTAATTAATATGCTATTGTTCAACAGTTCAATTAATTCATTGTTCCAATCAAATAATATGCAAAGAAAGTTAATGAGCTTATGGGTCAAAGTCAATTAAAGCTATGTTAACAGTTAAAAATTTCATTCTAGTTCCAACAGTCCAATTAATTGCTTTTGTTAACATTTAATAATACTTTTGTTCCAACAGTTCTAATTAATTCTATTGTTCAACAGTTCTAATTAATTCTATTGTTCCAACAGTTCTAATTAATATGCTATTGTTCCAAACCAGTTCTAATTGACATTCATTGTTCCCAACAGTTCAAATAATATGCTATTTTTTCCAACAGTTCAAATTTAAATTTTTATGTTCCAAAGTCTAATTAATATGCTATTTTCCAACATTTCTAATTGAATTCTTTGTCCAACAGTTCAATTAATATGCGATTGTTCCAACATTCTATATTGACATTCTTTGTTCAAACATTAATAATATCATGTTCCCAAAGTTCCTAATAACATTTTTATTGTTCCAACAGTTCTAATTAATACTATTTTCCAACAGTTCTAATTTGAATATTTTTGTTCCACAGTTCTAATAATAGCTATTGTTCCAAAACAGTTCTAGTAAACTCTATTTTTCCCAACATCAATTAATTGTATTGTTCAAAGTCTAATTAAATTCTATTGTTCCAACTTTTTTTCTAATTAATTGTTTATGTTCCCAACATTTTCTAATTAATTTTCTATTGTTCCAACAGTTTAATTGAATTCTTTGTTCAACAGTTCTAATTAATATGCTATTTTTCCAAAGTTCTAATTACATTCTATTTTCCAACAGTTCAATTAACTATTGTCAACAGTTCTAATTAATTTTCTATTGTTCCAACATTTCAAATTAATGCTTATTGTTCCAACGTTCTAATTGAATTATTGTTCCCAAAACAGTTCTAATTAATATCTATTGTTCCAACAGTCTAATTGACATTCAATTGTTCCAACAGTTCAATTAATATGCTATTGTTCCAACAGTTCTAATTGAATCTTTTGTTCCAAGTTCAAATTAAATGTATGTTCCAACAGTTCAATTAATATGCTATTGTTCCAACGGTCAATTAATTCTATTTTTCCAAACTTTAATTAATTGTTGTCCAACAGTTCAATTAATATGCTATTGTTCCAACAGTTCTAATTGATTCTATTGTTCCAACAGTTCTAATTAATATGCTATTGTTCCAACAGTTCTAATTAATTCTATTGTTCCAACAGTTCAAATTAATATGCTATTGTTCCAACAGTTCTAATTAATATTATATTGTTCCAACAGTTCTAATTAATATGCTATTGTTCCAACAGTTCTAATTAATTTTATATTTTTCCCAACAGTTAATTAATATGTATTTTCCAACAGCTCTATAGGAACATGCCAAAGGGCTTCACGTATGATGAACCGAGACCAAACCGTGGAGACAGAATTAACTAGTCCGAGAGACAGGAGAGAGAAGAGAGAGAGAGAGAGATGAGAAGAGAAGAGAGAGAAGAGAGGAGAGAGAAGAGGAGAGGAGAAGAGAGAGAGAGAGAGAGGAGAGAGAGAGAGAGAGAGAGAGAGAGAGGAGAGAGAGAGAGAGAGAGAGAGAGAGAGAGAGGAGAGAGAGAGAGAGAGAGAGAGTGTGGTGGACAACCACACACACTC